ATCTTCAATTCCAATATTAGTATTATCATTAGGTTCAATAATATCCAATTCATTTATATTCTCATCTGTAACTATCCTACCAAAAGAATCCAAAGTTTTTTGAAAGGCTTTATAATTATTTTCAATTTCACTTATAAGATAATCAGCACAATATTAACATTTACTATCTAACTTAAATAAAAAACATTCAAAATAATAACTATAATCACAAATTAAAATACGCTTACTTTACATGAATTTTCATAACCTTCCAAATCACAATATCTATCTTTTTGGAGAGGATATGCTGTATTTCAAGCTATTGGTAAAATCTTAACATCAACTTTAGCATAATTATTTTGCTGAATATCTAATATTATGATTTTCAGAAAATACATTAGTAAAAGAGTTATCACCATGTATTTGATCAATTATTCACATTTGTTGAATAATCTGTTTTACAGTGTTTGATTTTTATATTTGTCGACGAAGAGAACTGTGAAAATTTTCTACATAATAATCATTAAAAATGTGAAGAAAATCTGAAAGAACTTGTGAAATAGGATAATTAGTATTGTTTCAATAAAAAACATTATTTAAAAATGCTAATGGTAACTTATTATAATATCTACGCTGATATTGATAAAAAATGACCTACACATGGAATATGATTTTTTTATATGCTGACCAATCTCCACTACGAAATATAACAGAATAAAAATCTAAAACTAATGGTATAATATTATCCAGTAAATTGATAAAATATCTGGCTTCTAGATTCTTAGACTGCTCAAATTTTTGTAGAATGTTGAACGCACTCGCATTTAACCTTGAGATGCTAATTCTAAAAGCAGATTAATTTTGTAAAGTTTAGCTTTTTCGCCAATACCTTTTGATGTCCAAATATTGTATGGAAAAACTTGTTAAAAAATTGATAATTTAAAAGAAACACAATTTCACGACTATTTAAAGATACATGTAAAGGTCTGATCATTGGAACAATATGCAGAACTTGTACTGGTATTCCAGAAGGATCTCTAACTTTGATACAATAGGTGATAGTACAATGTATATTTAGTTGTCTAGGATAATCCATAAACACTAATATTTGTGTTTCTATATAAGTTTTTACTTCAGAAATATTTAATAGATATTTAATTGCATTCACATAATCTTTAGTTGAATGTAATAAACCTTCTTTTAGATCAACCAGTTTCGTATTTTCTATGCTTTAATCGATATGACATTGTTCAATCCTGTCATTATAACTATGAACTAAAAGACGCTCAACTCTTTCATCATAAGTTTTTGATATAAGCATTAAATTAGTAAACGTTCACTTTTATCTTATGTAACTGAGCCATAGAAAAGGAAAGAAAAAAGTATGAGCATTTTGTGTAATAATGGTTGCATCAATGCCCTTTTTATTGTAGATATTCTTTTCTTAATTAGGATTATAAAATGGGATAGATGCTGTTTCTGGCAAGGCTTTTAAGAGTATCGTAATGAAATATTGAACATCATGCATAGTTGTTGTATCACTGCAGTGGTACTCATAAATGTTGTGAAAATCATCCACATTAAGAACAATCAAGTTTTCATTCTGTTTAAAAAATAGTTAGTTAATTTAATTAGATTAATTATGAATACAACACTCATATAAATAAATATTCTTATACATACATTATCTGTTAAAAATCTTCCTACTGTTATTATATGTGCTTCTAAATAATGTGCTTTTTGTCTTGCAATTGTCATTTATTTTACTGTCAAACTTGCACTAGCTAATGTCTCTATTGCTGATGAAGATATTTCAAATGCATCTAATATAAGCCCAACCTCTGCTTTAATCCAATAATAAACTTATTATTAAGTCCCGCTAAAAATAGCAAAAAAAAACCAGTCTACTTTTATTTTTTTCGTTAGTCATATTATTTTTAGTTTGTGGGTTTGTTCTAGTTACTAACTGATTGAAAAATCCTTTTAATGATAATTTGACCTTTTCAAACATTTTCTTGAATTAATTCAGATCTAAAATAGATCATTTATTATATACACATTGCCTTGTATACAACATCCCTGCAATTAGTTTAATCTTTTTGCTGAGAGGAATTAATTCTAAAATATATTGATTATATAAGAAGCAGTCTAGAAACAATTACATACAAAAATGTATTTAGTTACTTACCTAACTTACTTTATCAAGTTCTGCATATATACCATTATATTCAGCTTCCAGTTCTGAATCCTTATCAGTTCTATATAAGCAGTAATGATACATATTTGCCTCCAATAGAAGGTCAAAAAATTTAATTAATCATTCTGATGCCTTCTTTAATTTCTTCCTCTCCTTATCGTTTTTGGCTGTAGATATATATGAATTGTGTTTTGGATGAGAACATTGGTTAGGCTTAGGCTTTTTTACATTTACTATCAATTTATTATAGTGCTTTCGGCATAAAGCTTTGCCAACCAAGTTCAGATATTGACTTGAACTTGGTATCATTACTTGCTTGGATATAATAGATGTCCCATGCTTTTCATAATCGCAGGCAACATCATCCTGACCCTCTAAATCACAATATTGAACCTTCCTTTTTCCCTTTTTTTCATTTATAATAGTTATTTCTTCACAGACTTTCTGTGTAGACATTTTGCATGTATTTCTTTAATAAAATCGCCTATTACAACAAAATAGAAAAAAACTCTTATTAGCTAACTTCTGAATTACCAAACTTCTTCTCGAATTATTTTATTATGCAATAAAACAAGATATATACTTTAGAAAATTTTTTATTGTAATCTTGGCGAATTCCTCCGTGGCTGCGAATCCATTTAAAGTTAGATGATCATTTTTTTAATATGTGACGATCATTTTGAAAATCAACCAATCAGGTTTAAGTTCGCTATGCTACCCAAAGGTCTAACCTTTTAGAAAATAAGATTTTTGATCCATAATATAATAGTAAGAAAAGCGTAAAATTAACTTTCTTTTACTGCTTGCCACTTTAAAAACTTTTGCATTTTTCGTTTATTATTCTTATTAAATACTATGGAATATGGCATTCATTTTAATAATGACAGAGAAAAAGAAAGCTAATATCTTCAATTATATACTTGCAAAATTTCGTTCTATATTATAAAGACCATTTTTGAAAAATTTATTTTTTTTCGCAAAGATGTCAAACTTTGATTAAACCTCGATTTTCTCGAAATCACATGATTGCCGCGTCCCCAAATATTAGAACTTCCATTCAAGCATGCACGAAATAAAAATATTTGATCAAGTGAGACAGGTTCTTCTTCAAAGGCCAAGACATTTTCAAGAGTCTATCCAATCTCTATACCCGAATGGTTGAGTTCTGAAACTGAGCAATCAATTCCCCTTGTAGCATATCTAAGGAATCATCTTCAAGCGTTGCCAAGGAGATGCCATCAAGATTAGTAACGCCATCTATCATAGAAGGACCTGCTGTTTCTAGGCCTGTAACGCCCACACTTCCTCCTTCCTTTTTGCAAAACACGAATGTAATTAATGTAAGAACGACAGCAGAGCTAGCCTGTTTTTATTAAGTGGCGATTTATCAAGGTCATGGTTACCCTATATTGTCACATGTTCAAAGGGAATTTATTCTCTAACTTGAGATGCTACATACATATTTGATGTTATTCAATGCTGTAAATGTTTTTATTCGTTAAATAAATGTCATCCGTTGACTTTTATAATTACAAATACGGAAAAAAAGGTCACAGACTTTTCAAGCTCTTTCCTTTTTCTTCCGGATTGTGCGTATCGTTCTTGACCCTGTAAAACATCCTAACTTGACCCACATAATATATTTTACAATATGGGAGGTCAGTCGATACCTTATAAAAAATTATTTTAACTGTAAAAAAATGTCTGGCTTAAATTTTGGAGTAACGCATTTTATTTAGTTAAAAATTTAAAAAAAAATAACAAATATTCAAAAATCTCAATAAAAAAATATATATATATATATATAATACGAAAATTCTCATATAAATGTTTTTACACAAACAAAAATCTGACAATATGATTTTTCTAGCTTTTCTTTAATTATGACAATTTGATGTTAAATAATAATAACCTTCTTTCATTAAGTAGTTATTACAGGCCTCTTTTAACGAATTTTTATAATTATTAGGTACTTGTTGATCAACCCAAATGTTTGCCTGATCATACGCTGCTTTCCATTCGGGATTGTATTCTATTCCTAAAACCTCTTCGAAATAAACAATAATCAATGAAGTAATCCACACACTTCTTTTATAATGTCTTAAATTTAAAATATCAGTGAATTTTTTAAGAAAGTCAACATCTTTATCAGTGAGTGGAATCTTGAATGACCCAAAAACTAATTCATGAGAATCAATATTGCCATAAATTGATAGTGAATTAACAAGTTCATTAAAACCTTTATCAATTTTAAAGGATTCTCGAAGCTCCTCAATAATTTTATTTCTTGTACTAGGGTGATCTACTACATACTTATAAACTTGTTCCTTTTGATCATTATAAATTATTAAACCTTTTTCAATCAAATATTCCCCACATGCAAAGTATAATAATTCTTTATATTCTTCGTTTCCAAGTTGATTACTTATCCAATCATTTGCGTATTTATAAGTATATTGCCATTCACTTTTGTATTCATCTAAAACTGTTTCAAGATACGTCATAGCAAATGCGGTTTCCCAAATTAAAGGATCAATATACTTTAATTTTTCTAATCCAGCAAAAAAGATAAGACCCCTGTTCGTTGAACCTTCCAGTTTAGAACCATTAATAGCCTCCCAAATTGATTGAATCCTAAGGAGTTTAAGGGTTATCTCATTTATATGGAGAGAACCATCGTCATTTGGTTTTATCCAACTCCAAATGTCAGATGCACCACTAATACGAAAATATGGTTTAATTTGTTTAATGGTTTTGATTATCATTACGCGTAGTTCAGTGGTAGCTTGAACTATGATCCTATAAGTAGTTTGATGTTTTTGACTACTACCTTTGGCAAGAGTTTTTACAATTAAATGACCACTGTACTTTTTTTCATCAACGATTGACCAAGAGTCGATCTCTGATTTATAATATGTAAGAATACTTTCAAAGGATATTTGTTCATTTTTGTAGGAATGATATGCATCATGATTACCAAGGCTTGTGTTTACCGTCCAAACAGATAAACCTGCTTGTTTTTCGGATATCTTTGATTCCGATTTTAAGAATTCAATGACTTTTACAGCAGAAGAATTATTAGCAGTAAAATACAAAGGCTAACAATTAACAAATACAAATGTTAAAACCTCATTATATAAAATGAAAAAAATAAAAACATAAATAAAACTCACTTCTTTATACACATTAGATTGAATCAATAAATTCTGACATTTATCAATCAACGACCTAATTAATGAATTCAGAAATTGTTTATTTTGTTCCTCGTTTTCATGTAAACTAACGATAATTGGTAAACTATTTTGAAGGTTTAAATATGATTGAAGATTTCTTCCAATATTGGGTACGCTAGGATTCTTTCCATCAACGATGAACGCAACGTGAGGGGCTAAAGAATTACTAGGTGAACAATGCTTTTTGATAATTTGAACTAAATTTGGAAGGTCATCTGGAGAAAGGTGAAGTTCTTTCTTGGTGTAGTCATTTTCCTAATGTAAGGATCGATACAAATAAACGTCAGCTTTGGAGAGGCGAATTAGTGATAATAGAATTAATTTACCTGAGCACAACAGAAACTACCGCCAAGGCACAAGAGAGCTAATGAAATTAATAAAGTTACAAGAAATAATTCATTGTTATTAAACTTCATAACGTAAACAAAAGAATTGTATTGAAAAAAAAAATATTTTTTTTCGTTAAAATTTTCGTAGATGATCGGGTTGTACTTATGTTAATTTTCATTTCTCTTACCACCAAATTTGACAATGATTGCACTTTCCAATCGCTTCTTAATCTGTTGATATTGTATATGCAAATTTGGCATATGCACACTCAACACCAAATTTAAACAATGATTATAAAATAGCGACTTTCAAACGCTTCTTAATCTGTTGATATTGTATATACAAAATTGGCACATTGGCATACTCAACACCAAATTTAAACAATGATTATAAAATAGCGACTTTCAAACGCTTCTTAATCTGTTGATATTGTATATACAAAATTGGCACATTGGCATACTCAACACCAAATTTAAACAATGATTATAAAATAGTGACTTTCAACCGCTTCTTAATCTGTTGATATTGTATATACAAAATTGGCACATAGGCATACTCAACACCAAATTTAAACAATGATTATAAAATAGCGACTTTCAACCGCTTCTTAATCTGTTGATATTGTATATACAAATTTGGCACATGCACACTCAAATTTAAACAATGATTATAAAATAGCGACTTTCAACCGCTTCTTAATCTGTTGATATTGTGTATACAAATTTGACGCATTGGCACATTACATTGTCAAAATTTACTTATTAACCTATTCTTTGATATGCATATACTCATGAATGTTATTTCTAATCATTTATATTTTCTTGTTCTTTCATAAACTCATTTAATTTTATTTCTTTCGAATTTTAGTCTATCTTTAGATTATGCACATATACGCATCATAACAGTCACTGGACCAAGTGGGTCAAATGGATTTACTAATTAAATATGGCAGCATGTCGATCACCTTTTTCATTATGATCAATTAGTAAAACGTTAAATTTCCCAGTTTTTTAGTCATATGTAAGCCTTAAATCTTTTGTCCAATAATATATTCAAAAATATTTTTTCTTCTTTGTGTTGGAACTGAAATGTTAATATATATATTTTTTTTTTGTTTATTAACGAAAAGTTAGAAGGATTTTCCAGTAAAATTGGTCAATTTTTGTTAATTTATGCTTGGTAGATCTCTGAATGAAAATTTTACAAGCAATATTCAACAACCCTACTTTTAAGAAAGTAAAAATATTTCTGATTTTAATATTATAACTAGGGAATGGTTTCGGAAACCATTGTTAAGAGCATAGCGGACATCTCTATTTTATCACAATTTTGACAATCATTTGACGATCATTTATTAAATCTTATCACATATCAATTCTCAATATGCTTAAAATTCACAAAAAAAACTTAGAAACCTTTTAATTTTAATAAAGAAATAAATATTTATTTGTATAAAGCATAAATTCTATTTATTATTTATAATTAACACTAATATTTATATTATTATATATACAGTTAAGTTTAAAGATGGTTCCCATAATTAATTATGCCATAAGGAAATTTAATTGCGTCATAAGTTGCAACTCAACTGCACCATTTTTTTTAATTGCAGTGACAATCTTTAAAATATAGAAAAATATGTCTATAACTTATCTAATTAAAATTGTCTAAAATTGTTTAATTTTCCAACACTAAGGCAATATAAATTTATATAATTAGTTTTAATATCTGAAGTTGAAACCATATGATCTGGCTATCCAGATTTTTATTTTTAGAAAAAAAATTTTTTAAATTTTACTTAATATTTTATTATTTCACAATCCAAATACCTGGTCAAAAACTTCATATTAAATATGTATTGCATATTAATATAATAAACTATTATTTTATTTAACGTATTTATAAAGAACATTTTCAATGTGAAAAATTATTTACTGAATTGGTTGATTAATATATATATTTTATTTTTTATATAATCGCTTACCTATAAATCAGTAACATTGATCATGTTTTTTCCTTTCCTAATCACACTCTTGAGCGTTTTCCCTTTTCTAACTACGCCCTTGAATGACTTTTTTTCATGACTGTATTCCTAAAGTAACTTACCTATAAAGAGCAAAATTAAAAACCTATAAAGCAATATTTATTAGCTAAGTAAAAGACAACTACATCCTGAACGACTTCCTTTTATGACTGCATCCTGAATAAAATTAAAACGCATAGTAAACTTTAATCATATAATTCGCAAATATAAACTAATAAAGAGAAAGAAAAACTGTGTCAGAATAATCTTTCCTTTGAACTCTTTAACAAACCTCTTCAAAAAATGCCATTTGTAAATATACGTATCTCTAAAGAATCAAAGTTTTTCATGGATGGTATATTTATCTTATTTTTTATGAAATGATAATAGAAGATTTTTTTTATAAAACTTATAACTAAAGAACTATCTCCTAAATATAATATTATTATTTTAAGTTCTGAAGTAATAGAACATATTGAGATAAGTGAAACACCAACTGCAATTACAATCCAAGTCAGTCTTATCTGTAATATTATGGAACTTACAATAAGTATAGGAATATGTATACAATATCAACTCAAAACTGATAACAATATAATTCTTAATTCAGTAACACAGAAAATAGTCTTATAGTCCTAATGTAAATTGCATATCAAAACAAGCGACATCTACCAATTTTTTCACAATCAAGTAAATCAAATTGTAAACAAAAATTACGCAGCGATCTTATTGATTGAATTCACCGTCATAATAGAGAATAGTCCACTCAATCATATGCTAATATGCAAGAAAAGCAATTTGTCAATAATTTGACTAAAATAATCTGGTATATTGACATACGTAATCACCAGAAATTTGAAAAGTGTAATTACCACATACCTGAGTTTTTTTTGAATTTTTTGATCGTGCAAATTCAGAATCATATAAGAAAGCACAAAAACCCTTTAATGCTAATGAACTAAATTTAAATTGTCAAGTTCTTGCTCTATACACTATATTATCATAAATGTTAATGGCAAATTTTAATTGGCTCTATGATCCATTTGATAATTTTATTGTTACTGTTTCAAATTATGTTAAATTTCTGTAACTCAATATAATATTACTGCTATAAATCATGCATCAGAAACTCCTATATATTCCATTAATTAGATTACAACAATCAAAGTCTATAAGCGAAATATTTGGATTACAACTGTTGACAAGATCAAATATCATAATCTTGAATAATTGCTCATCAATTTACCAATGTGAAAAGCAGTCGATATTGAAGAATACTTACCAATTGATCCTGTGTAAGTAAAAATCAAATTATTATTAATATATCAATATAAGCTAATAAAATAATTTGTATATAGAGCAAGGATGCATTATATTCAAGGCTTATCTTATGCGTTTTTCTTTACAATTGGAGAGTATTAGTTTAATTTTAAAATAATGCTTTTAATATGATTTCAATATGAAAAATTGATGAACAAGCTAATGAGATGATGATTTTACAAGAGAATAAACAGATTGTAATGAATTACAAGCTGATGCATCTCATTACTATACATGAATAATGCAAATAAATTATCTACATATCTGTGATCTACTTCTTCTAAAAGCTAAGCCATCATCACTTTAAGCAATCTATTAGATGTTAACAGGTGACACCTCTGCAACTAAAACTACGAATGAAGCAAAAATTGATAAATATGTTAGAAATGCTTTAGATCTTAGTGATTCAGAAATCACAATTGATTTATGTGAATACAACAATGGAAGACCTAGCAAATATGATATTTTTTGAAAAATTGCAGCTTAATATCTTAAAGAAAAGGCGGTAGATGCTTTGATCGCTGTAAATGAATGCAGATATAATTCAATCATTCATCTTGCAACTGCAATTTCAATGAATGATCTTTTGTATAAAATTAAGTGCGAATGTCTATCTAAAACACTGATTCCCAGTGCACAATAGTTGAGACTACAGTTCTAGCCCAAAAATCTAACAAGAATTAGTAGTTTACAATTCACTGGTCATTTATCTTTGAAATTTATGATTCAAACATGTTAATTACGAGCCTATAATCCAGATGCTCATTATGTATCAGTATTATTTATTATAAGAAAGAATTTGTTGTTCAGTTTCGTAAAATCACAAATTTTATTTTTTTGGATGATAAATATTATTGTAAGATTGGAGAATCTGGATTCCCTGTTGCTACTATAGAGAGAGAAAAGAAAGTTGTGGTCAGTAGAGACACTACATTCGTGATTACTGATCATAATTATACTAAAATAGAAATCATATTGAGTGTATTAATAATATGCAATATATCTAAATTGATATATAGTAATTTTTATGCAGGAAAAGTACATATCAGATTAAAGGATCCAATCTTTCAACTTTCTTTACCACTTCACCATGCAACAGAACTATATCATATACTTCTTAAAGAAGAGCTTGTAGACAAACCTATATTATGTCTCTTTATAGATGGTAGATCAAACTATCATTACACATATACTTATGTTTAGCTCTCCTATATTTGTCTTTTTATTGCTTTAGATTTCAATTATTTTGTTGCTGTCTGAACTCCACTACAGCATTCATGAAAAAATCCTGTCAAACGTATCATGTTCATCTTAAATTTAGGATTATAAAGTGTAAGTTTAATGTAGGCTAAGATGAATGATGAATCAGAAAAATTAATAGGTAAAGTTAGTACAATGAACGAAATTTGCAAAATTACTGAGAAACATTCTAACTTGAAAAAAGATTTTATTGAAAGTCTTCAAGTTCTAATTCATTTAATTAATGATGTATTTAACTACTAATTTCTTAAAGATGAGCCATTCAGAATATTTGCTGCAGCATTAGAAACAGAAATAGAGAGATTCTGAAAAATAATTCAGATTGTGAATGATAGTGTTACTCATGAAAACCACACTGCAGAATAAATAAAATAAAGGGTAAGTAAAATAATTAAATGAATTACAGTTCGCGACATAAATATCCGGAATTTATCGCGACAAATAAAAAAATTGTAAATCTTATTTTATTCATTTCATATTTATACTATTCGTAGATTATAATATACAGATTAACAATATAAAAAAAATTAATAATTAATTGAAAGCCC